TGGTAGGGAGCGCTATCATGGGGAGCCTAAGAAGACACAGAAATCTTGGCTGTAGTCTGCAAGGCTGTCTTGTTCAAGCTGTTTTGAATGTTGTAACACCTGGGGCACTGTTTCAGGGGGTCAGGAATCCACAGCTTTTTATTTTCTGTGGAAACAAAAATAGAAATCCTTTTCCCCAGTAACCTGTCCTTAGACTTACATTTTGGAGTCAAAGCATTTTTAAAATATATAAATTGAATTAATCCAGCAGTATTTCTTTTAACAGTTGTTATTTTCTCAGCAGTCAAACAATTTAAAGATAACAGAATAGTGTACAGTATTCAAAGTTTTCCTGTGCTTTCCATCTTTACATGGCTTTTTTATTATTATATTTCTTCTTTTTTTTTTTTTTTTTTTTTTTTGAGACAAGGTTTGTCTGTGTAACTTTTACCTGTCCTGGAATTAATTCTATATACCAGGTTTACTTTGAAATCACAGAGATCTGTTTGCCTCTGTCTCCCAAGTGCTAGAATTAAAGGCATGTGCCACCACACCCAGCTCCTCGACGTCTTTTTAAAACCATTTTATTCTTTTTCTCTCCCAAGCCTATGCATATTTTAAAACACACTGTAAACCTTTAGCGGTTTTTCTTAATGTGAATCTGTCTTTGCTGTAAATCTTTATCTTTTTTCTGGCCACAAGTCTTTATCTGGTAAACAACAACATTGCTAAAATGAAAGCCACAGTTGTTTCAGCTGCTGTCTATCCAAGATGGCAGCAGATACCTTTACCGCCATAACTGAGAGCTGTGCTCACTGCCTTGGTCTACGCTGCCATCCAGCAGCATGCTGCCGGCTTGGAGATATAGTCACTGCCATTGCCAGCTCTCGTACACACCATTTGCTTGTTAACAGAGCTCTTTAAAAGTCTTGCTGGTTTTTTGCTGCCTATGCTGAGTCAGGAAATCTCCATTAAAGGAGCCGCACAAGTCTCTGCTTGTTTCTAGCAAAACAGAGTACAACCAAAAAAAAATTGTTGTTACCAAGAAGCCTTGCTTGTCTCTGTTCTTTTGTTTCTAAAACCCTTTTTTAAGCTTTTGTTAAATTTTAAGTAGAAGTTCTCAGGTCCACATTCGGTGCCATTATGTTAGGAGCAGTTTTTCTGCCGCTGTTCCCACCGCTCCACCAGCCCCAAATAACACAGAGACTCTGTATTAAATATAAAGCTGTTGGCCAGTTACTAGTTTCTTATTGGCTAGCTCTGTCTTAAATATTAACCCATTTCTATTAATCTAAGTACTTCCACATGGTCTTATCTTACCGGAGACAGGGGCTGGAGTTCTCTCTCTGTCCTTCATCTTGAATCTTCTCTCTATTACTTCCTCTCTCTTCCTAGTCTCCTAGTCCTGCCTATCTTGCTTTCATATTGGCCAACAGTGCTTTATTCATTAGCCAATAGAGAAACATATTTACAGAATGACATCTCCCATCGAGCAATGGGAACTCAAGAAAAATTCCCTGCAGGTCTCCAGTTTGTGCTATGGTGATTTCAACAACAGTGTTTCTTCTCCAGACTGCCTGGGAACTGGATGCCTGACATAGCCAGGAGCCAGCTGAGAGCTAGACTCTAGCTGAACTGGACTCTCAAGGTTTTCTCTTTTCCCAGTTACAAAGAGTGATCCAGTGAGTATCTGTCCAGATAGTGTATAACCTCCTGTGTAGATATACAATACAGAGCCCAGTTGGTTAGGTAGGTGTGTGTGTGTGTGTGTGTGTGTGTGTGTGTGTGTGTGTTCAAATGAAGTGTAAAATGGGTCTAACAGAGAGAGAGCTGCCAAATTCAGTGAGAGAGGAACCAAGGGTGTGAGGGTGTTCTCAAAAGGCTGTCTCTCCATACTCTCCCTCCATGTTGCTGTGAAAATGGGGGAAATGGAAAGATGGAGGTGGGGAAACCCAGGTATCTTCCCATAGGTTCTGCCTCCAATTGCAATTCAGCAAAAGTAGCCTGTTGTGCCTGAGAATTTGAGATTCCTTTTGGTTTCTGGACCCTTCTTCTGCACCCAGGGCTGTGACAATCACCATTTTTCTTCCTGGGGTCCTGAAACCACACTTGCCACTACAAGGTGCTGGTGTCTTCCAACCCAGGTTCCTCAGGCCCTGGCTGCCACTGCAGAGCTTGGATCACCCTCTTACCCCATCACCATTTGATATGCTCAACCTATAATACATGCCTCTTTTCCCATTGGATGAAAAAAAAAGAAAGAAAAGAAATGAAAAGGAAAGGCAAGGGTGTGACCATTCCTAGGGATGGTGGAGAAGAAAGTTTACTGTAGATAAAATGGGAGGATATATAGCCAGAGGCAGAGTCCAGCGTGGGCATGGCCCAAACCGTGTGAGGAGAAGTAGAAGGGAAGGGAGAGGGAAGAGAGGAACCAGGTGCAACAACCAAGAGGGCAAAGCTAGAAAACAGAGGTGAGTAACCAAAATTATACACGGAAGAGCCTCTGGGGGAAGGGCAGCCCAGCCCTGGGCTGGAGAGTTCAAGGTGGAGGGCAGGGTATGCTGGCCATACCCTGCAACAGGTAGGGACTGAGGGATGCTGGGAGAACCTGGTGGCCAGGTCCACTTTGATATGTTAAATAAGCACCTCATAGCCATCTATACCTGGTAAACAGAATTTATTTGAAAATAACAGATAGAAAGGGGCAATTTGATGGCATTTTCATTTGTATGTTTCTTATTAAAAGTGAGGTTATAAACTTTCTAAAATTTTGAAAGGGGGTTGGCGAGATAGCTCAGTGGGCTAAAGAGCTAGCCTTGTAATGCTAAATTCAATCCCTAGACCTATGATGGAAGGATAGGTCCAACTCCAAAAACTTGTCTTTGACCCCCTAACACCTGCCACATGCACACACACTAATAATAATAGCCACAATAAATAAAATAATTTTAACCACTCAAAGGGTGTGTTGAGCTAGGCGTTGGTGGCACATGCCTTTAATCCCAGCACTCAGAAGGCAGAGGCAGGCAGATCTCTGTGAGTTCGAGGCCAGCCTGGTCTACAGAGGGAGTTCCAGGACAGGCTCCAAAACAATGCAGAGAAACCCTGTCTTGAAAAAACAAAACAAAACAAAAAAACAGAAACAAAGGGTTTATTGTTTTGTTTTTGCAGCACTGTGACTTGATCCCAGAGTTCATAGTTGCTGAGCAAATGATCTAACACTGAGCTGTGCTCCCAGCCCTTAAAGGTCATTTTTATCTCTTCTAGGAATTAACCATCCATCTATTTTATTCTAGTTTCATGAAGTTGTTGACATTTTTAAAAAAGCTCTTTGTATTTTAAAGGTACTAGCCCTTTATTATATATAAATTGATTCCACAATTTGTCACTTAATAGCAAATTTTATCTATAGTGACACTCCCCACCCTATTTATGTATACTTCTTCAAGCAGAAGACTTTTTTTTCTATTTTTGAGTGGAAGGCTGGAGAAATGACTCAGTTTCCAGTACCCACATTTGGTGGCAGCTCACAGCCACCTGTAATTCCAGCTCTAGGGGATCCAACACCCTCTTCCGGCCTCCAAGCAGGGGTGCCCACAAACATGGGGAAAAGAGATACACATAAATAAAATAACTTTTAAAAAATTTGGAGAGTGCTGGAGATCAGACATTGAACTGAGGGTCTCACAAATGCTAAACAAATGCACTACCACTAGCTCAATCCCCAATTCTAAAAAGGATTTTTGATAGTCAAGTAGATCAATTTTTATTTCCTTTAGATTTTTATTTAATATGAGTATTTCCCCTTTCCTAGGTTATAATTATGTTTTATTTTCACACTTATATTTCTGATCAATTTAAAATTTATCCTGACAAACAATGTAAGAAATACATTAAGCCAGGCATAGTGGTAAAGCCTGTAATCCAAGCACTTGGGGGGCAGATCTTTATCCTGGTCTACATAATGAGTTCCAGGACAGCCACGGCCATGTAGAGAGGCCCTATTTGAAAAAAAGAAGAAAAGAAAGAAAATAAGATAGAAATACTTTTTTTTTTTTTTTTTTTAAGAAAGGGTTTTACATGGTAGTCCAGGGCAGCCTGAAATTTACTATGTGTCCCAGACTATGCCTCAAACTCACAACAAGCTCTCAGCTTCCCAAGTATTAGCATTGCAGGTGTGAGCCACCACACCCAACAGAACCAATTTAAAATATTTCCAAATAGCTGTCCAGTGTCTTATCTCAGCTTATTAAAAATTTTAACTTCCCTTTTTACCATAATTTCCTCCTAATCCTAACTTAGTCCTATTCGTCGGCTTTCCCTTTTATTTAGTGTGTGTGTGTGTGTGTGTGTGTGTGTGTGTGTGTGTGTGTGTGTGTGTGTAGGGATTTACTGAAAATTGAACGAACCCAGGGCCTGTGCATAAGCATGTGTTCTATAATCCCAGCCTATTCTCTGTATATTTGTTTGTTTTCAAGAATTTCTCTATGTAACCCTGGCTGTTCAGGAACTCGCTGTGTAGAGAAGGATGGTCTGGAACTGACTGTCCTGCGTCACCACCCCCACAAGCCCTCGGTGCTGGGATTAAAGGTGTGTAGCAAGCACGCTGTCTTTCTTCTGTATTCAACCAAAAAAACCTAACCTCTTTCTGGAGATGTTTGCTAGAGAGAGGAGTTTATAGCCAATCTGCCTCTATCCATGTAACTAACTCCTTAGTTGTCCTATCTCTGACTTATGCTGTTCACTTTAGATCTCCTTAAAGCTTCTATGGCTTTGCGACGACGTTTTCCTTTGTTTTGGGGCCATTTGTTGGGACGTTAGCAGGCTCATTTTCACGGGGCGGCCACAGTAACACGGGACTGCTTCGAAGCCCTCCTTGGCTTCTCAGGCCACCGTAGGACCCACCTGTCGGGGGAGCCGGCGCGGGCCCTTCTGCGGCTGCGCAGGAGGCTCAGCGCCCCGCCCACGCTGCGCGCTGGTTCGGTGTGGTGTGAGCCCGCTTGGTTGGCAACCTCGTGCGTGGAGGGCGCGCCGGGCGGCGGCTGTGTGCTTTCCCGCCGTTTCCAGCGCCTCGTGAGAGAAGCGGATGTCCTGAGAGCCGAAGCGCGGGATCCGGAGCCGGTAGGGACGGGAGCGAGACAGCGCCGAGCTGGAGGCCGCCGGCCCCGCGCGGGCCGCCGCCTCAGCCGGTCAGGGCCGCCTAGTGCTCCCGCGAAGGCGCGGCTGGAGCCCGCGGCTGGAGCTGTGGGAGCCCAATGCGTTTGAGGCCAGCCTGGGCTGTGAGTTCCAGGACAGCCAGGATTGTTACTCAGAGAAACCCTGTCTCAAAAAACCAAAAAAAAAAAAAAAAAAAAAAAAAAAAAAAAAAAGACAGGTTCTCACCTCCATAACCCCGGTTCTCCAGGTTGTCTGTAGACCAGGCTGACCTTGAACATTCCGCCTGCCTCTGCCTCATGAGTACTGGAATTAAGGCATGTGCCACCTCACCCTACTATTTAGTAAATTAAAGGATATTTTACATTTATTTGTGTGGCGGGGTCGGGGCGTGGTCATCCGAATGACTGTAGAGGACAGAAGGCAGCCTGTGGGAGTCTGTTCTATCTGTGGGTCCCAGGTATCAAACTCAAGTGACCAGGCTTAACATTCTGTGCCATCTCACCTGCCCGCCGTAATTTTTAAAATTTTTTCGATCATAAATTTTAAGTAGTGGTTTTTTTTTGTTTGTTTGTTTTGTTTTTTGAGACAGGGTCTCAGTATATAACTGGCCTTGAACTCACAGAGATGTGCTTTCTTCTGCCTCCTGAATTCTGGAGCTAAAGGTGTGTCACTGGGTGAGTGGCAGAATTTTTAAGGTGCAAAGTACTCTCCATTCACTTTAGTAAACCTTTACATAAACTGGAACTCTAAAAATGATTGTTGAGAGAAAAGGATTGTAGTGGGGAAATCGTAACTTTTATTACTTTTCCAATTTAAAAGCTCAAATTAATGAAGACTTCTAAATAGCATATTCATATTCAACATATTTTGTTGTTCTTTATAACTCACTGCTATGTTTTTCAAATGTCAGTTTCTTTATTAAAGAAAAAGTTCTGCTGCCTAATCTGTAAAGTTCAATGACAGCCAGGGCTACACAGAGAAACCTTGTCTTGAAAAATAAAACGAGATGGCTCCATGGGTAAAGGTGGTTGCTATTTATGTGGAGCTCATGATCCCCAGAATCAGTATGGTTGAAGGAGAGACAAACTCCCAAAAGTTGTCCTATAACCTCCACACTGGCTTGTAGCACCAGATATTCTTTTTTAAAAATCCCACGTAATCATTTAATTTGGTTCTATACTTAAGTTACACAAAAATTGCTGTTGCTACTGGGCATGCCTTTAATCCTAGTGCTAGGGACACAGGGGCAGGTAGATCTTTTGAGTTCCAGGACAGCCTGGTCTACAGAGTTCCAGGACAGCCAGGGCTATACAGAGAAACCCTGTCTTGAAAAACAAAACACTGTTGTCAGGGGAAAAAAAAAACAAAACCAGAATCATACCATACAAATTATGGTATGATTACCATGGGAACCCAAGGGCTCTTTAATGTAGGAACATGAGTGTTCCACAGAATCAGAAGACTTGGGTTCTAATCCCAAGATTGCCAGTAAAGATGGAACTTTGGACAAGTTGGTTAGTTATAATCAATGTATATCTTGTGGAAAAAAAAAGTCTGATCAAAACATGATTTTACACCTTCCAGGCCTGTGGCCGGGTTTCTGTGGAGTAGAAGGTGTGTGTATAAGCAGAGAGTTTCATCACTCAACTGTTTTCCTTATATAAAATGTGTCCAAGTGACTAATATATGATCTTTCTGATTCACTCCCCTTTGTTGGATCCTTTCTTTCCCTATTCCAGGAAACAATAAAGATGTGGGCTGAGCCTGGGGCTCCGTAGTGAAGTACTTGTTTAATGTCACAGCACCACACAAATATGGTGGCATGTTTTAATTTAAAAAATTGTTTTTCTAGTTACAAGTGGAATATATGTTCATCTGGAAAATTTAGAAAACAGAAGTGGGAGTAAAGGCAAACACATAAATACAAATACAACCATACCACTCTAAGAAAAAGAAAAGCCTGGTTTCTGCCTTCCTATGACTTTTCTACTATTTTTACACACCCAAACACACATGCACTTGAATGCACCATGGTATATAGTGAATGTAATTTGCTGACTTTTTGTTATATGTATATCCCTCCAGACAAATGGAATGCCCATAAATTTGTTCCACATCCATTAAACTATCAAAAGTTAAGCAGTGTTATGTCAGTTTTGGAACAGCTATAATTATATTATGCTACATATTTTTCTTATCCTTTCTCTTTCTCTGCTCCAGAATGGATTGGTTTCATTGCAACCAGTGTTTCCGAAAGGATGGGGCCCATTTCTTTGTCACCAGCTGTGGCCATATTTTCTGTAAAAAGTGTATGACTGTGGGTGAGTGACTTCAGTTTATCCCCAAATCCCCAAATGGCTTTTTGTTTGGGTTTTTTGTTTGTTTATTTTTTGTTTTTTCTCTGTATTGTTTTGGAACTTGTCCTGGAACTCGCTCTGTAGACTAGGTTGGCCTCAAACTCACATGGATCTGTCTTTTGCTGCCTCTGCCTCCCAAGTGCTAGGATTAAAGGTGTGCCTCCCCAAATTTTTTTTTTAACTTAGATTTAATGAGTAGCCATTTCTCTGTGTGATGTAGAATAAAAGTTTTGTGGTAGGCATCAGTGATAATGCAGGTACTGTAGGTAGCTGTTCATTTTGGAAATTAAAGGAATTTATTAATAAAAGAGTGAAGCTAAGTGATTTAGCAAATGTGTTACTCTTCAATGTTTTGAGTTGTGTCAGGAAAAGCCATAATGGTGTTGCTATCTTGGAGTTTAATAAGCAAAATTCTATCTATCTATCTATCTATCTATCTATCTATCTATCTATCTATCTATCTATCTATCTATCTGCTTGCTTGCTTGCTTGCTTGCTTGCTTGCCAGTGCTGAGTATAGAACCTAGGGCTTTGCACATGCTAGGCAAGTGCTTTATCAGGGAACTACATCCCAAGCTCCCATACAGTTTTAAAAAATAAGTTAGTGTTCATTTCCTATAAACATATTCTTAAATAGTTTCTGTGTTTTCTACTGTTTGGGGGGCAGGACCTTACTATATAGCCTTGATTGACCTTGAATTCACAGTCTTCCCATCTCAGCCTCCCAAGTGCTGGGCTTTCTGGTATGCGCCACCATACTAGTTACCAGTTCTATGCGATCTTCACCACAGTCTTTGATAGTAATTACTGGTAGCACTATTTTGCAAATGAGGAAATTAGAGAATAAGTAAATGATTACCAACTTGTAACTGTCAAGTTTTAGAAGAAAACTTGAAGACCATGTGAGGCTTGGTGATACACGCCTTTCAATCCTAGCTGGGGAGGCAAAGTCATGCAGATCTTTGAGTTTGGGGCCAGCCTGAGTTAACATAATGCGGCGTTCCAGACCAGCCAGAGCTACAAAGGGAGACTGTCTTAAAGACAGGAAACTTTGCTTGAGAGTATTGGGAAATGAACCTAGGACCTCTGGAGTGCTAGGCAAATACCCTATAAAAATCACCAAGCTATACCCCTAATCGTAACTATTTTGTTTTATTATTGTGAAAACACTTAGGAGGTCTGGGTGAGGTGACATGGTGGTATATTACTATAGCTACTGAGTAGGCTCAGTCAAGAGTGTTGGTTACTTGAAAACAGGAGTTAAAGGCCAGTCTGGGCAACTTAGAGATCCTGTCTGAGAGTAATACCAGCAACAAAAACCCTGTACATTATTATCTAAATTTCAAAAGAGAGAATTTACCCTACTTAGGACAGGATGTGACTCTCATGACCCTTTTGAGTTACCTGCCGTTGCAATGAGACTTTTTCATTATGGTGACAGCAGTTCACTTTGGAGTGATTTTTCTCTGAAGCATAAAGCCATATAATACTTTTTCCTGGCATGGCATTTATCTTTTTTTTTTTTTTTCTTTTTTTTTTTTTAATGGATGAACCCAGGGTCTTATGCATGGTAAACAAGTGCTCTATCACTGAACCTCATCCCCAACCCTGTGGCATTTATCTTAATCATCAGCACCTACTAATAATGCTTTTTATAAGGAAAGCTTAGAGATTTTACACTCTGCTTCTTTCAAATGCATTAATTGAAGAGTAGGAGAGCTTCAGAACAAGATCTAAGAATATTGCAAGGTGACAGCTGGCTGGGATAACTCATGAGCCAGCCTCTTACAGTGCCCAGGGTGTGCCTAATGTCAGGTAGAGAGGATTAAAAAGAGTCTTGGGCTGGAAAGGTAGCCCAGTGGTTAAGATCATTGGCTGCTCTTGTAGAAGACCCAGGTCCAATTTCCAGCACCCACATGGTGACTCACAACTGTCTGTAACTCCAGTTCCAGAGGATCTGACACCTCTTCTAGTTTCCTCAGGCACCAGACATGCACACAGAACGCAGGCATACATGAAGGCAAAACATAAATAAATCTTTTTTATAAAGTCACCAAGTGAAAATCATTGATACTCTTATATTCATCCCAGAACACTTGCAAATGTATTCCAGTACTTCTGTTGGAAGTTCCAGTACATCCTACCAGTAAATGTCACTAGTCCCAATATTAGGGAGGCTGAGACAGGAGGGTTGATACAAGTTTCAGGCCAGCCTGGGCTGCATTTATGAGACCTTATCTCAAAAACAAAGGAAACAGGGAGATAAGCACAGTACAGAGCCTCATACTTCAGCATATTTGTTTGGAAATGGTGATTTAGAGAACAAAGATTAAGTTAGTATCTTAATGATAATAATTTAGTTAAGAACCTGTTTCTTCTCTTGCTAGTCTACTTGACAGTTACCATATACTTTAGACAAATATTACCTCCTGCCTTTGAGAACAAATGTTTTTCCCTTTTTCTCTCAGAAAAATGTGCTGTTTGTGGAAGTCATTGCAAGCATCTGGCTCTTTCTGATAATGTAAGTTTTTACCCTCATTACAAACTGCCTCATCCAGTCCCTGGCCAGTAGGAAGTATAGACATAGATGATGAGCTGCTCAAAACAAAAAGAAGAAACAAATTTGAAGATAGTAGTTGTATAAAATAGTTATTTTATTCCAGTGTCAGCATTTTCTTTCATTTTGTTGTGTGTATTCTCACTGTGTGTCTTACTTTCTTCATAGTTAAAGCCTCAAGAGAAGAAGTTCTTCAAAAGCCCTGTAGAGACAGCCTTGCAGTGTTTTAGTCACATCTCTCAGGTATGAGAACCAAAATGAAGAAAAGTTCTTACTGCTGTAAGCTCAAGGCCACCTTAGGCTATGTAGTGAGTGCAACTGGGTACAAGGAAATCCTGTCTCCAAAGACCCCCACTTTCTTTGAGAGTTTTTTTCAGTGTAGCCTTGGCTATCCTGGAATTCATTTTGTAGAACAGGCTGATCTCTAACTCAGAGATACCTGTCTGCTTCTGCCTCTGCTGGGATTAAAGGTGTGTGCTGCCGTCACCGCCAGGCAAGGAGTTTCTCTTTAAACTGCCTTTGTATACAGTGGAAACTGTTTTCTTTATTTTCTTCCCTGATACAAATCTCTACCAGTTAACTTTTTACTAACCTAGAATCTATGGTACACTGTCAGAACAACAATCTAGTTGAATCTTGCTTTGTAGTTCCTACTTCTAATAACAAGTTCCTGTGACTAAAAGGTGCCCTAAGGAACTTTGTCATCTTTCTTTGAAAATAGATACATTTTCTTAAAAATTGCATATATAGGCCTACAAAGAATGGATTTGATAATTTCACTTGTGACCTTTTGCTTATAGATGTCTTATTCTTCATTTTCATTTTTCAGTAACCTTTGCAATAATATTTAACTTTATTTAGAGTTAACAACTCATTGCTTGAATGGTAGAAGATGTTTGTCTTTTACTGATACCTTGTATGTTGGTAAATGACTGACATGATCAAGAGTAGTTGAATATAGCAAAAGTTAGAAAGAAGACAGTATAATTATTTGAGAGAGTCCCCAAGTTTTGAAGACTTTGCTTTTTTAAGTTTGCACACTCTAGTTCTCTGCTGAGATGATTTTTTTTTTTAGCATATGTGATACCTTTCTTGACATGCTTCTTCAGACTTTATCTGGCTGGAGAGATGGTAAAGGCACCTGCTGCCAAGCCAACAGTCTGGGTTCAGTCTCTGAAACACATGTAATGGAAGCATAAAACTGCCTCACAAAAGTTGTTCTCTTACCACTGAGTGCATGCATGCACACATGTGTGTGCACACACAATAAATATGTAATTTTAAAATGTTTCCTTTTGTTATTGTGCTGGTTATTAGACCCCAGACCCTCTGCATGCTTGTCAAGTACTCTATCATTATTGTCTTTTATTTTCTTGTTGCCTTCAATGAAAAGCCCCCCACCCCATCCCGTGTGTGTGTGTGTGTGTGTGTGTGTGTGTATGAGTGTGTATGGGGAGACTATGTTAGGGGAGGGATAATTTAATATCACAAACAAGAATGTGGGACAACTTGCAGGAGTCAGTTCTCCACTCTTGTTCTACTACATGGGTGCTAGGGATCAAAGTCCTGTCATCACATTTAGTGACAAGTGCCTTTCCTAATTAGCCACCTCTCTCTAGCCCAAAGGCACTGTCTCTTGTGTTCCAGAACTCACTATGTAGCTGAGGATGACCTTGTATTTCTGATCCTCCTTCCTCTACCTGAATGCTGAGAATACAAATGTTCTACCACTCTAGACTTAACATGTGCTGGGAGAAGAACCCAGAGTCTTATATACTCTACCAACTGAGCTATCCACCCCCCCCCTTTTTTTTTTTAAGAAAGAATCTCATTTTGTATACTAGGCTAGCCTTGAATGCACAATCCTCTTGCCTCTACCTCCTAAGTGTTGGGATTGCAGACATGTACCAAAAACCACACTTAGCTTTAAATATTCTTTTTCTTTTTCTTTTGTGTTGTCTGTTGCTGGGAGTTGAGCCCAGAGTCCCACACATACCAGGCAAGCTCTCTACCAGTATCAGTTCTTACTCTTAACATAGTATAATTTCTTTTTTTGAGACAGGCCTCATTGTAACCCAGGCTCACTTTGAACCTCCTAGATTGCCAAGGATGACCTTGAACTCATGATTCTTTTTTCTCCATTTCCCAAGTGTTAGGATCACAGGCAAGTCCCACCACAACCAGCTTGAGTATACCTTTTTTAAACATGGCAATTATCAGCAGTGTTTCCCTAGTCCCCAGTGTCAACTCTGGAAATAGAGTAAACAGAACTAAAGCTTTGTCTGTATGCTGTCTTAGTCACTTGGATGAGCCATTATATTTGAGATACTACATTTAATGTTGTGAGTAAATAAAATCCAGCTGCAACTCAAGGAGAAATGTAAAAGAGGTCACATGAATAAGAGAAAAAGCAGACCTTTGGTTAATATTTAAACCCATAGTTAATGATCAGTTAAGAAATTATGTATAGTCTGAATCTTAACCTGCCTAATCATGGGACCAATTATACATGGCCAAATAATCAAGGTAAAATAAATAGAAGGGGTCAGTTAATCATCACTTTAGTGAAGGATCAGTTTGGTGAAGTCAGCAGTCTGGAAATGTATTTTCCTATGTGAAGTTGAATAACTGAGGAGATACCTATCCTTAAACTGTGTCACTCAAGCTTCTGCTTAAAGTTTCTTTGTTCAGACAGATCTTCCCTAATTTCTTAGAATCAGCTCCAGCACCCTGTGGTTCTTGTATTATTTCTCATCATAACTCCTGTCTGTACCATTGTCTTGTTTATTTGTGTATTGTCTAAATCCTGCACTGAAATACAGCTCTATGAGTACAGAGATTTGGTCAGTTTCGTTTGCTGTTCTCTTTGAATAGTTTCTAATATAGAATGAACATCCAAAACATTGTCTGTAAATGAACAAATGGACTATTGCTCTAAATGTCCATTTTTGTTCTCTGTAGTGACCCAACAAAGACATTTTATTTGTGCTCTGTGCTAGTTGTTGATAAAACTGCCTGTTCTGAATGCTTGACTCACTTCTAAAATTTTTGAGGGAATTGAAAAGTCTGCCAGGACCTACGAGTTTACTTCTTTTCCTAGACCATAGACCCCACCTTTACCTACAACTAGTCACCTTTCAAATGCACTCAAAATTGTTTCTTCTCTAGTAAAGCCTTCCATGGTTGCTGTAGCACAATTTTGCCTTGTATTTTGTACCCTACATTGCTTTTAGCTCTGCAAAATACTTAATTCTAAAAATGTGATTTACTTATTTACATCTGTTCTCACTTTTCAAAGGCAGATATATCTTTGTAGCACTCAGTGTCTAACTAGATGTCTGACCCAAATTATGTTCATAAGAAATGGTTTGTAGAGCCAGGTGTAGTGGTGCACCCCTTAATCCCAGCACTGGGAAGCGGAGGTAGGAGGATGACTTCTGTGAGTTTGAAGTCAGCCTGGACTACGCAGAAAGTTCCAGGACAGCCAGGACTACATAGAGGCATCCTGTGTCATGAAACAAAAACAAACAAAAAATAGAAAGTGCTTGTAAGTGACTGAGTATGTAAGACCAGTTAAGAAAGAGGAAGGTTATTATAAGTCAGGTTAGAAAAGTAGGTATATATAGACCCTGGCAAGACATTTATTTTTCTTTTAGGTAAAGTTTTACCACTGGAGTGTTTTGTACAAGGAAATGACATTAGATGATGCATAGTTTTATTTTTGATGTTGTTTTGGTTTTTTTCTTTTTTGTTTTTTAAAGTCAGGGTTTCTCTGTGTAGCTTTGGAGCCTGTCCTGAAACTTACTCTGAAGACCATGCTGGCCTTGAATTCACATAGATCCCCTGTCTCTGCCTCCCAAGTGCTGGGATGAAAGGCATGCACTACCACTACCTGGCATGATGCTGTGTAGTGACTAAGTCATAAATAGGTAAAGAGTAGAGGTAGGGAGACCAGTCAGGAGGGAAAAATCTAACCAGACAGTTTGCACTAAATCATTAGTGACAACAGAAAAGGAAAAAAGGCATGGAGGTTATAATAGCTCAGTGACAGAGGCCACTCCCAAAAAGCAGAAAGGCCAGGGTTGATTCTCAAGCAACACACATGAGAAAAGGTCATTATTTATGTTTTGTATTCTGGAAGCTCAAGCATAGTTTTATTAGTGTTTAAGAAAAAACGTAATACAGGTTAGGTAAAAATACCAGCAGCTGCCAGGAGAAGGTAAAGAAAAAGTAATGCCTTTTGAGTTAGGCATTAGAAATAGACAGCTTATCTTTAAAGGGGTGGAGGTGGCTGGAGAGATGGCTCAGTGACTAAGGACACTTATTCTTGAAGAAGATCTAAGTTCAGTGCCCATCACCCACATGATGGCTCACAATCATCTATAACTCCAGTTCCACAGGTCCAGACCCACTCTTCTGACCTCATAGCTATATACAAAGCACACATATATTCAGGTAAAACACTTATACAAAAATATTGAATGGATGAAAATAAATAAACAGGAAAGGTTGGAGAGATGTCTCAGTGGTTAGGAGCACTGGCTTCTCTTACAGAGGTTCTAAGATCAATTCTCAACACCTACAGGGTGGCTCACAGCCATCTATAATGCAGGTACATGTGCAGATAGAGCACCCATACATAAAATACATAAATAAATCTGAAAATATTAAATAAACAAGTAAATGGGAAAGCATTCCCAGGAATGGAATTAGGCTAGGAAGCTGAGGAAAGCCCACAGATGTTGATTTTTGGTTTTTTGGGAGGTGGGTGTATGTATGTTTTGTTTTCTTTTGAGTCGGTCTTTCTATTATCCTAGAACTCAATATATAGGCCAGGCTAGCATCCAACTCACAGAGATCCTCCTGCCTTTGCTTCTAAAGGTGTGCAACATTACACCTGGAAAATAATTTATTTTTTTAAAGCATGAAGACAAAGCGTGAAGAAGTAATGTTGCTGGTGCAGAGTGAGAAAAAGTTTTACCTTGTTTTGGTTGATTCCTCAAAAATCTACAACCATTTCTTTCTTGCTGATTTTTCTCCTGGATCTTCCAGGAAGATATGGGACCCATTTGGTTTTAGATGCTCCTTAAAAATCCAGGTGAAAAATTCAGGAAGGTTAAACTCATTCTGGAGCTAAGGGCATAGGAAAGGACCAAAATTAAGTTCATATTGTTGTAATAGGTGAATGTAGTGGGTGGTGGCACTGAGTGGCATGTCCCACTGGTGTGGGCAGATGGGAAACA